TCACACTTTGAATAGATAAAGAAGAACTCATAAAAAATATATACAGAGAATATCTTAGAGAGAGAAAAGATGTTGAGTCAAAACAACAGTAAAATTCACAGCAATGAAGTCAATAGTGGTTCAATCTTATTAACAACAATAGTCTTCTAAGTGCAAGATGAAAAATATCTTAGAAAAAAAAAGAGGAAAAAAAAAGAAGAAAGTCTTAGTTTTGCTGAGAGTGAGACTTATGTGCTTATCAATTATCTTGAACCGTTCAAGTAAAAGAAGGGAAGAAGTAAAACTTCCACAATAAAATATTATCTTTGCAGCACTACATATCAATGAAAAGGTAAATGAAAAACAAAAAAAGAGAGAAGAAACACAATGCAGAGATAACTGATAACTCTATTTGAGTTTGAACAGTTAATAAAGATAAGGATATGAGTATTACTTTGCAGACTTGATGCTTCAATAATAAAAAAAACACTAATAGAAACACCAACAGATAATATCACCTAATTTCAACGAATTTTACAAGATTTCTGCTAATCCATGAGGTTATTTTATGATAACAACGAGATGAAAAATTGAGTGATGGTACGATTATTTTACCATAAAGCTAATAACGAAAAAATAAATGGATATGACTCATGACTTAGGCGATTGAAAAAATCTAACCAAAATTTTGCTAGCCTTTTGTAAATCACAAAAGATAACTGGTCTTTGTCACAAGAGTGTAATTTCAACCTGCTCTGATACCAATGTTGAAAAAACTTGAGGGAAGAGATGGACCCACTCCTAGGATTAGGGGGAGTGTCGTGAGACTATCGAACGCAAAGATCAGGCTTTTACCAGAACTATGAGAACTCTGTAAATTTATGTGTACCTCTTCATAGCCATGAAACCCTTCTTAAAGAGGGATAGAGGAGGTCGTTCTCCAACGTTCGGCTTCCTACTAAAATCTCTGAGGAAACGTGGCCTTGTAATCGTGGGAAGTGGGTGGTTACTTTCTAGCTGTTAGATAACGGCACTCTCGCTAAAAAGCCTCCATTTTTAGTGATAAGCATTAACTTATACGAGAGAAAAATATTATACAATTAAAGGCCACATGGCCACACACACGTACCAACAGGGGGCGTTGTTTCAATCCATAAAAGTTTTTCTTCAAATTGCAAACAAAGTGTTCTTTTACCATCACATTAAAGTCTTTTGGTTGTTCTATATAAATCTGTTTCTTCAAGTCACATAAAGAAGTGCTTGAGAAGTGACTTGAAGAAATGCGGTTTTGAGATCTAACTACAACATCTCTATATCTAAGTATACAGCTAGACCAAGTCGCATGAATAATTGACATCTTCACAATGGGTGAAAATATTTTATCACAATCAATACCCATTCTTTACCCAGGGCCTTTTACAACTAGATGTGTGTTGTACTTTACTTCTTTCTCAGCTTCATTTTTCAACCTAAAGACCCACTTTCAATGTTTTTCAAACCTTTGGTAATTTAATCAAATATATATATTATTTTTTTCAAGGAATTGATTTTATCTTACATAACTTCATTCCATTCTCTTTTATTCATGTACCTTGGCTTTTTGGAAAACATCAGGCTATCCCCATCACTGAGCATGACGTACCCAGTGGGAGAGTATTTGATAGTTGTCTTACCCAAGTAGACCTTCTTAATTGAGTCACTATTGATAGTTATTAAAGGGGCTGCTCCCTTTGCTCAATATCACCATGTACAAAAGAGTTATTACCAATAACTTCTTTGTGACCTTCTTATACATCTCTCCCATCATTACATACAACCGGAAAAGAAATTAGAGTAAAGTCTACAAGGCCATCCACAAAGGATTATTTGATCTTCACAAAAGACCACATCTCAGCTTCGTATCACTTTATTTTATTTTGGATTCCAAAACTTGTAGCCAAGGTCTTCATCTACATAACCCAAAACGACGCACTATGTTCTTGTACGTAGTTTTGGCCTCTGATCTGTTGGTATATGAACAAACTCTTTACAAGCAGATATACTTTAACGTATTCATATGAGATATCTAAAAGAGCTAGAGGGGATAAATTAATCAAATAGCATGTAGTATGCATCGCCTCCCCCCAAAAAGATCTTGACAAGTTCACCAGTGAGAGTATACTCTTGATTCTTTCCCCAATAAAATGATTCATCGTTTCTACTATACCATTGTGCTGAAGGATACAAGGAACAACCTTCTTATTTTCTTATTTTCCACTCCATCTGCAGTATTCCCTAAACATCCCTAGAGTATGTTCCCCCACTGGTATATGTGTGAATATACTTTAAAGGATACGGCTTCTATGCGGCCAGCCTGCATATTGTAGAAATGATGGCTTGGCAATAAATATATTTTTTAAACATAATTTAATTTTAATTTTTAGAGAATATATAATCTTTAACATGGATATCATGGATATCGAAAAAAAAAAAATGAAACTAGAAATAATAATTTTTTTTTTAGATGGACCACCTATTTGCCGCCATCTTTAAGGTGGATGCTTTATACCTTTGGACCGCATATTGTAGAAATGCAGTCTAGCCCGCATGAAACAATTTTTCTACTTTAAAAGATTTCCTATTTCTCTTTCAACTTTAGCATAAAAATTTGGAAAAATATTTTTAGAAACATCATTCTAAAAATAAAAAATATTTACAGTAAAATGAATTCACATTTATGTATGCGACTTTTGAAATTCCCATTCTTCATCAAAATTTCCCATAGGTTTTTATTTTCAAAATATAAAAATTGAAGTCCGTATTCATTTTATAAATAGGGAGAATTGTCCATGTTACATAAGTCAAGTTTGAAACGCATAATTCATATACATCAATTTTAAAAGATTGTCCATATTTACTTATGAAAATTGTTTTCTTTGCATAAGTCAATTTTGAAAATACCCGCCATGTTTTTTTTAGAACAAAAAATAGTGTAGGATAAGAAATAAAATATTGTTATTTTTGAATTAATAATCCAAATTGTTATGATGCAATGTTGCATTGGACTATAATTTAATTTTTTTTGTGATGCTTTAGTTTTGTTAAGAAATATTAATTATAGTATATTGAAATGCAGACGTGAACTGTATATAATTTTCAAATATTAATTGTAGGATATTTAAATGCATATGAGAACTGTATATAATTTTCAATATAATTATTTATATACATGCACATGCATACCGAGTGTCGTGTCTAGAAGATGTTTTTTTTATGTTTATATTTTTGACACACAACAAATAGACACACATTTATGTTTCTATGTAACATAGGTGAGTACTCTTTAGAAGCTTTATAATCGGTAATTATGCATATAGTGAGAAACTAGTATACTTGTTGGTCGATATCGCTAGTGTGACGCTCATCCTCGCCTTGGCCGAGTATTCGGAAGTTGCGTGTGCAACTCGGGGCATATAAAAGAAATCCAAAAACTTAAAAAATTATAAAAAGATGTAGATATGTTATAATGATTTTTTATATGATTTGGATGTACTTGGCAAAGATATGGGAATGATTTTTTTTGGCCCTAATCACTATTTTTATATATATATATTTAGATTTTTAAAAAGACCCAAAGTGTAAATGTTTTTGGCCCTAATCACTTTTTTTATTTTATGGTGAAGTATATAATGAGATCATTTAAATTTAGTACAAGGAAGTCACCATCATTCCTATCCATTACATTTCAAATCGGGTGATTGTAAGAGTGTAATTGACATGACTCAAAATTCAAAACAAGATTCTTGAAGTTTGCAACACTTCCCAAATCATCCAATTTAACATCGGTTAGGAGTAAGTGTAACCACCTACAACAAAGATAAACGGTCATAGTATACAATCACTTTTTTTATTTTCCAAAAGTTTCTCTTTTTATTATTAGTTTTTTTAGCGATGGACTTGGCCGAGTAACTCCCTCAAGGGGAGTTCCTTGGGCAAGACGAGTCCCATGAAATCAGAAGCAATAAAAAAACATTTATTTCCTCCCATATCACTAACTTTAAATGAAGGAAAATGGTTTGATAGCCCTGCAGACCTATCAAAATAAGTAATTCCTCACCTCAACTCATCAAAAATTGCAATTCAAGCACTGAAGAACTTTTACATTGATCATCTCGGCTTGAACATTAGGGTTGTGAAAAAAAAAAAAAAAAGATTTCAAGCTCTAAAAATAGTATATATTGTAACAAATTATCTAGACCGTTCATTTCACTCTAAAAATAAATGTTTATAGATCCACAAGATCTTTATTATTTTTTGAGTTCCAAATTTTATTGTTTGCATTGAAAATTGATTTTAGAGCCATTATGGAGATTTTTGTTGTCACAAGTGCTTTCTGGATGAGGATTTAAAGTGAGGCTTTATTTCATTTCTGTAAAGCCTAGGCCTTACAGAAACTTCATCAATCTAAAACAAATAATAATGCTAAAAATGAAAGTACACATTACTAAATTGATAATCATAATCAAAACTGCAGTGACAATTCAAAAAAAAAAGGAGTCTTAAGATCAAAATATACTATCGAACAATGTTATCAAATTCGCTTTGTTTCACCGAAGAGGCCGAAGCCATTGGAATTTAAGTGTAAAACAAAGTGAAGAGAAGCGTGGTGTTGTCGATACGGTCAGATTCGGGCCGTTTTGGGATGCTTCAGTCTACTTCAGGTTTGCTTTGGCGGAAGCTTTGGGCTGCTTCGTCAGAAAAGAAACACATATATAAAAGTATTTTTTAATTTTTTTTAAATTTTTTATTTTTTTTATTATTTTTATATATTTTATATATAAATATCTAATTTATTTATATTAAAATAAAAAAATTGTGAAGTCTTCCCTCAAATCGACCAAAGCACCGAATTGCTTCATTTTCTCACCAAACCGAAAAAGACCCTGAAGCGAATCTGATAATATTGCTATCAAATGCACTCATTGGTTTATTACATCCATTTAGATAGAAGAGAAAATAATGAGAGAAAAAAGAAGACTTACTGATCGATGAGTGTAACCTCCGTATAGAGGCATTGCTCTTCCAGGGCTTTTGCGGTGTAAGCTCCCGTGATGCCTCCACCCACCACCACCATCCTCTTCTTCTTATCACCATAAATCAACTCATTATCAATATCTCCTGCAATATTCATCGGAAATAAAAATCATAACCCAAAGGATCTCTCTCTTAATTCCTTGATGAGATTAGAGAGAGATGATGAGATTAGAGAGAGAAAAAAAATGCAGCATTGGAAAGGGCAAAGTTCAATTTTTTTATTATTATTATCTTTTTTTTTGCACTTTTCTTGCGGCTCTTTGAAAAGGAGTGGATATAACAACACGGATAAATGGTTAGTTGATGAGTGTGGACAAATGTGGGGCAGGCGGTTGATAAGATTTGTTTTGTGCTCCCTACCGTTCAAAAAACAAGATTTGTTTTTGTGCTCCCGATTTATTAGGAAGGTGAAAGACTCAAGGTTGTTGAGATTCTAAATTGAGAATGTTTAAGTTATTATCATTTTCTAATGTAGGGTTGGGGATGGTCGGGTCTGGCTCGGGTCAAAACCAGCACACAAACCAGATCTGACTCGGTTTATAT